TCCTTCTTATTTTGTGTAGCTTTTAAAGCATTGCAATCGGTAATAACTTTGAATTCAATGCCAATAAGGTAGTGACGAAAATGACGTAAGGCTCTAACTACAGCTAACGTTTCTAATTCATAGGAGTGATATCGTACTTCCGCGCCACTAGTCACCTGACTGTAGTAGGCCACTACACACTTACGACCATCCCTATGAATTTGAACTAGAATAGCTCCGTATCCTTGACTGCTGGCATCGGTATGGACCTCTGTATTTAAATTAGGGTTAAATATAGTGAGAACCGGTTCGTTAGTTAAACACTTAATAATATCGGCACGAGCTCGTTCTTGTTCTTCACCCCAATTAAATTCTACATCCTTTTTAGTTAAACGTGCGATACACGAGGTTTTGAAAGCGTAATTCTCTATGTACTTTCTAAAATAGCCCGCAAGTCCTAAGAATTGCCTAACTTGACGCACATTTTTAGGCGCAGATGAGTTTATTAATGACGTTATTTTCGATTTTGAAGGACGAACCTCACCGTTAGTTATTACGCGTCCTAAATACTCTATTTCAGTGTTCAAAAAGGAACATTTTTTCATATTCAACGAAAACCCAGCACCCGTTAAAGTCTTTAGAACACTATTAAGGATATGTAAACCGGCGTCAATACTCTCACTAATAAGTAACACGTCATCAATATACACCACAACAACGCCGCTGTTTATGAAAGAACGCAGGGTATTACTAATGATTCTTTGGAAAAACACTGGCGCATTCGCGAGTCCAAAAGGCATTTTTAAATATTCATAATGACCTTCTGGCGTCACAAAACCCGTGAGAGGAATCGAGTCATTATCTAAACGAATCTGATGGAACCCTGATGCCATATCAAGGGTCGTAAAATATTTACCTTTACCCAACCGGTCAATATGATCCTCAATTAACGGCAAAGGATATCTGTCTTTAATCGTAATTCTATTTAAGGCCCGGAAATCTACACACATTCGATCAGTACCGTCTTTTTTCTTTATCAAGAGTATAGGGCTCGCGTACGCAGACTCCGATTCTCGTATTATTCTTTTAGATAAAAGATCTGCAATAATTTCACGAACCTTCAACTTTTCATTAAAAGATAACCGGTAGGGCCTGTAATGTATCGGTGCATCACTGTTTAAACGGATGTGCATGCTACCAGTCGTCATGCTTGTAGTAGCCAGTCCGGTAATCATAAACTTTGAAAACTGATTTCTCAATCTCAATCTCAATCTCAAATACATTTATTGCATTCCATAATGTGATACAGATATCAAGCTTATAATTAAGTTACAATTATGGACCCTGTCGGGCACAGCAAAATGTTAGGAGAGAGGAAGAGTTTATTACAATTATTATTGCTGCTATAAATATATACACACAAAATTTGGATTCAACTATAGATAATTTGGTTTTGTTTTAATAGTGTTTTTAATTTAGTCAATATTACTTCATATTAAATGTCATTTTCATATTTAAATACAAACATAAGTTAGTAAGTGCAATTTAAATATCAATTATTATATATCAATGTTTATGTTTATATGATATTAAATGTCGTTCACATACACAATACAACAGAATATATTGGGTTAGTGTAATGCTAATAATTATCATTTCATACAATGGAAACACTACACTAAGTAAAGTTTGTTATAATTTTGGTATTTTGTTCTAAATTAAATATTAATAGCGCTTTATGTATTATTCGATTATTGTTTAAAGAAATATGCATTTGGAAATTATTATCGTGGATTATGTCAATGGTCTGTAATTATTGTTTATCATCTAAGTATTCTTGTATGCTGTAGTAGCTTTTACTCACTAGAATTTTTTTTAGTTTATTAACAAAGATGTTGATTTTTTCTTCTTTTTTTATGGACTCTGGCAACTTATTGTATATTTTTATTGACATGACCAAGGGGCCCGAGGAATGCATTGCTAGACGGGAGGTTGGTAGGTTTATTCTATTTTTGTGCCTTAGTGTGTATCTGGTTTGTATATTTTCTCTAGTAGTGTAATGTTCCGGGTATTTCCGGACAAATTTACAGATTTCTAAAATGTATATACTCGGCAAAGTTAATATTTTTAGTCTTTGGAAATGGGGCCTACATGTGTCAGTTTCTTTTATGTTCACTAAAATTCTCATAAGTTTTTTTTGTTGAATAAATACCGTAGGTGCATCTGTGCTATTTCCCCATAAGATGACGCCATAGCTCAACCAGGAATATGCATAGGCGTAGTAGGTTACCAGAGCAGCTGCCAGATCAGTGGTCTTCTTGACTTCCAGTAGGGCGTAGGAGAATTTTGAAATTTTTGCTCTCACTCTTTTGACATGCGGTTTCCAGCTCATATGAGTGTCTATGATTAAACCGAGCAAGTTGAATTGGTTAACAACCTCCAATTTAAAGTCTTCAAAATCAAAGTCAATATTTATTGGTGCCTTTTGATAAGGGTGGAAGGGCATTATCTTTGTTTTTGTATAATTAATCTCTAAATTATGTTCAGCCATCCAGAATGATGTTTTCTCCAAAATTGACTTTAGTTTCACACTCAAATTTAAGCTACTTTCACAAGAGACAAGTAGAGAGATATCATCTGCAAACAATACGCACTGTCCACCTATGGCTTTGGGCAAATCATTGATGTAAATGAGAAATAGTAAGCACCCTATCACGCTACCCTGAGGAATTGAGGCTTTTACATCTAATTCGTTAGAGCGATTTTTTTCTATTTGACAAATTGTTTCATTAAAAAAATCTATTTCGACTATTTGCTTTCTGTCCGTTAGGTATGATGAGAGCCACTTATGAGCCTGTCCTCGTATGCCTATACCATACAACTTGTGCAACAAGATGTCAAATTGCACTTTGTCATAGGCCTTGGTCATATCAAACAGTACACCTATTGCATATTTTTTGTTATTTACAATATTAAGAGCTTCTTGTATGTACTTATATGCGGCCAAGATTGTAGATTTATTATGACGAAAGCCATTTTGGCATTCGTTGAATATCTGGTATTTTTCGCAGAACGAGTATATTCTGCTGCTGATAGCCTTTTCGAAGATCTTTGAGGCAGTGGGCAACAGAGCAATAGGGCGGTAATTGCTTGGTTCTGTTTTTAGGTTTTTTTGTGAATTGGTTTTATTACCGCATGTTTCAATTGATCGGGAACAACACCCTCATTAAATGACTGGTTTACTAACATGTGAAATGGTAAAGTTAGTTCTTTAGCACAAAATCTGAACAGTTTTGGTGGAAACTCATCGATCACATGGCTCTTTTTATTTTTTAAGTTTCTTAAGATTCTGTTAATTTCGTAAGGCTCTACAGGACCAAGGAACATAGTATTTTCAGTGGTGTGAATCACAGATGTACAATTTGGCTTCCTATCCAATGTTAGAGTGGTTGTATCTCCAATGGATGCAAAGAAACTATTAAAGCAGTTAGCAATCTTTCTTGGCTCGCATATAAGGCTATCGTTAATTTTTAATTTTATATTACGATTATCTTTTTTTGGTTTTTTGTTGGTCCTTTCATTTACAATACTCCACATAGCTTTTGTTTTATTATTAGATTTTATTATTTTATTTTTGTAGTGTATTTTTTTTTGAAGTTGCTACAACATTTTTTAATATTTTTTTGGAAGTTTTTATAATATGTTTGTAATACTGGATTATTTGTTCTAAGTGCAAGCAATTTAAGAAGCCTTTTATTTCTACAAGAAAGTTTTATGCCTACGGTTAACCAATATTTTCTAAACCGGTTTTTTATTTTAAGTTTTCGTACTGGCATACACGTATTTAATATACCTGTTAGTGTGTCTTTGAAAATGTTATAGTTATCATTAGTATTCTTATTTTTCGATAAAGTGTTTTGCCAATTTTGCTCATTTAGTGTTGCATATTTATATATATATATATATATATATATATATATATATAGTATGCCTTGAAGTGTTGCATATTTATTTCACTAAATATTCTTATTTTTTTGTGCCATGTAATCTGTTTTGTTTGTTGTGGTAATTCAAGGTGAATGGCTGCACCACTGTGGTCAGAGAAGCCCAATTCCTCTACCGTTGTGGATATGTTGATGTTATTAAAATTTGTGAATATTAAGTCTATACATCTTGAAGTGGTTTGTGTGATGCGTGTGGGATGCCTAATGAGTTGGGTAAAATTATGTTCCAGCATGAGATCTATGAATTGGTTAGTTTTTGGCTTACTTTCGAGGGTATTAATATTGAAATCTCCTCCCAGAATTACATTTGATTTTGAGTATTTGCTATTAACGTATTTAAGAATTTGTTTCCATCTCTTTATAAATATTTCTTCCTCTCGTCCATTCCAATATATAGACAACAATAATATATTTTCTAATATTAATTCACATGCACATACCTCCAAAACATACTCTATTGACATGTTAGTTATATATTGAACCTCTCTATACTCTATGTGTTCATGAAGTAGGATGCACACCCCTCCGCCCACATGGTTGGTACGGGTAAATGAGGATGCCATACTGTAGCCGGTAATTTGTATAGTTTCTAGCTTCTCGGGTGTTAACCAGGATTCTGATATACATATAGCCATATATATTGGTTGTTCTACTATGAAGGCTTCTAGGAGATGTTGCTTGTTATACAAACTTTGCATATTTTGATAAAGTATTTTAAATTGTAGGCCTGTTGTTTCGAAAGGAATGCTTAGGAGCTTTGATATTAGGTTCTGTCTGACAAGTTAAGTTGCCAATTTCTTCGTGAAAAGTGCTATTCTGACTGCCTGTTTGAGTTTTGCTTCTGTTGTACCTATCGTGGTTTATTTGTGTTTCATCTAATTTGACGTTAGTGTTAACCTGTTTTCCTTCTATAAATAGTTTATTTTTACGGATAATTGCATATTTACCTTCTTTCCGGGCTTTAATCATTTCCTGCCTTAATAGATATCTTTCTTTACGTTCGCTTTCGCTTAAGTATTACGATACAAAAATTGTAGTTCCTTGAAAGCAATGGCTGTTGTTTATAATGTACGTGGTTAACCTTTTACTCAAAAGTTCTACCACTAGTGGTCGGTTATATTTAATTTGTCTTCCTACTCTATACATTTCTTCTATGTAACCACTTAGGTCTAGTTGCATAGCGTCCCAGAAAAGCTGTAGAAGACGTTCGTGCAGATCATATTCCGGCTCTCCGTTGTACTCCGCAAAGCCATATAGCACTATTTTCTTGGTGTTGGTTTCCGTACATTTTATTGTGGATGAAGTCATTTCCGATGGCGATAAGTTTTTTATTTCTTGCTTCAGAGTTTCGTTCTCCAATATTAATTTATTTATTTCACTATTTATTTGTTTCATATCTTCTATTCTTTGCTCGTTTTGTGTAGACAAAGATTGAAATTTACGTTCTACTTCTTCTCGTAATTCACCAATTGCCTTTCTTATTTCATTGTGTAAGGTATGCTTTAGCTCTGTTATTATTAAGTTGTTGTTTTCTTTCAAGCGTTGTATTATGAGTTCATTTAAATTTTGGAGTGTAAGTTCTGTTTGTGTGTGTGAAACCGCATCCCTCCCTTCAGCGTATAGTGTATCTCCCAGCAAGCTTAGATCTGCCGAGTCCATACTATCGCATATGGTGTTTGCAACCCTTTTCCTGATAGTGATATTATTTTTTTCTTCGGGTGTGTTCAATGTTAGTGCAGACTCAAGTTCTTGTTGACGTATGGGTGTATTTGTGTTGTTTCCTTTGGGCATTTTACATCGGCAGGCTTGGCACTTCCAAGCTTTTTTGAGCTCAGGTGTCATTAAATTAAAGCGCTCCCTGGTAACATTCGCGTACTCTAAATCGTATGCGCTTTTGCATAACGTACATATTAAACGATCTCTGTTTTGTACACTTTGTTTACATCCAGCGCATAAGGCCATGGCTAGAAGTAAAACACAGCACCGGTTGTTTTATTTTTGTGAATAGCGCCCTCTTTTGGTATATAGTTGCACGTTAAGTCAGATCGTATTTACGTTAGATAGATCCTGCAAAGCGTAGATTCATAGGTAATAGGCCCTGTAGTTCTCCACTTTTTAAACAGATGGCGGTGTTGCCGTTTTTTTTTTACGACTATGACCTGCAGTTTTAATGTATTTAATAAGTTTTTGTTTGGGAATAATGTTTCACTATCTGTTTGCACTATTTTGGTCAGTTATGGTGTTTTTTATTGATGTTTTAACACTTTCGATTGGATGGTTACGAGTTTTACGGTTATTTGACACTAGTTACAAAAGGTTCGTTAGAATTTTGTTTTTGAAAGTTCACTTAATTCACTTATGTTACACTTTGTCCCACACAATTTTCTCGTCATTTGGAATGCAGATTGCACGATCGTACACTTTTCACTGTTTACTTTACGCCTTTAATAATTTTAATCTTATTTTTAGCACGGACTCGATGTTAATAGTGGCACAGTCGCGCCCTCTCCCTCTTAAATCCCGATTTAAAATCTCCAAAAGTCTTTTGCGGTCATTTCCTACAACTGAGGTCTTAATAGCGTGCTCATCCGCTTCTACCGTCGAAACTTTTGTCGGGACCGAATTGTAAATTAATCGCTGACAACCCTTAGTACGTATATATGTTACCCCCTCACGATTTAAAACATCTGTACCGATTATGATAGGTGCATTCATACTTTCACTGGGCACAACCAATAAATCAACCTCAAGAGTGATTTCTTCAAACTCTATGGTAAGCGTTACGTAAGAGAGCACTCGAGTGATAGTATGACCAACACCTTTTAACTCGCGATAAGTGGGTTTTGAAGAACACGAAAAATAACTCACGACAGAGGTGGAGATTAGTGAAACGTCTAACGCGCCACTATCTATCAAGACGTCAATGGGAATTCCCTGAATCACTCCCACCATAACGTCTCTAGAACTATTCAATTTAGGCAATGAGCAAAAATTTACGTTCGCTCTCCTCTGATCAGAACGTTGCTTAGCAAAACAATCCTTAATATGATGACCTATCTTTTTACAATACACGCAGGTAGTTTTCGATTCCAGTTTTATCTCACTATTAGTTGGCTTTACACTAGTAGACGGTATTACAGTCGTACTATTGGAGGGTACTTGATTCGTATTTACTGATAGTTTGTGCTTGGAGCGACAGTTAACTTGTTTGTGACCCATCAGTCCACATGAAAAACATTTAATCGGAATGCTTGATAAATACCGTTTGCCAATACGTGGTTTAACAAATCCTTTACTAATACCGCGGTCAGAACGAGAAGGCTTTTCGGATTTATTAAGAGCTGGCTTAAGGAAAGTAGCTAGATAATTTACTAATTCACAGGGCTTCAGATTACAATTCGTAGCAGACGCCTTAATATGCGGGTCATTAATACCACGTATGACGATCGCACTAATAAGCTCATCACTCAGTCCCTTCACTATTTTCAAACGCAATAAAGATCTACGCGCGTATTCAGCATACGTTGCATAATCGTCGGAACTCGTACTCATCACTTCATACAAAATATTCGCCACATCGATCTTGTTCACGCATAAAGACCTAAAATCTTTTTTAAAGTTACTCCATGATCGGTCCGTCGTGACCCAATCATCTAACCATGACTTAGCATCACCCTTAAGACAGTGCCCAATGCGCGACAAGCACTCAGCGTCACACCATTTGTTAAGGATTTGTGCTCTGTCTACCTCCTCAAACCAAAAATCAACATCATTCATGTTAGGGTCGAAATTCGAAACATAATAATCACGAGAACTACCCCACCTTAAAGACTGAATAGCGTCTACGATTTTTTCAGTAGAATCATTAGGTTCTGTACGCGTTTCGATATTTGAAGATGTCGTCATGGTAGACCTACCTTCTAATGCGTTTAACCGCGTCATGATAACTTGTAACGATTCACGTAATTCCGAACCATGAGAAGAACCGTGGGTAGAACGACTATGATGCCGGCGGCGGTAACGTTTAGAATTATTATCATCACTCGAGTCAGATCGACTGCATGAACGTTTACGCCTACCCATTATAAAAGATCAATATACACCGAAGCAAATTACACAATATTAGCAGATAAACACCAGATATTAATAACACAAGTAACAAAAAGAAAAAGTAAAATCGATTGTGGGTTGAAGGATAACTTTGTCCCACTTCTGATGTAAGCAAAAACAGATTTATTTGATTAAAAAAACAATTTAATGTTATACAGAATACAAAAACACTATCTGGTTATTTAACTCTAATACATAATTAAAATATTAAGGCTAAGTAAACTATTATAGTTACGTGATACACGACACAGAGATGCACCAGTCCGCACACCGCGAAGTCCCGAGCAAAAGTGATCGATCTTCACGATACTACTCGTCATTCGATAGTCTCATTCGAATGACGTCACACCGCGAAGTTAGGTACAGACCACCATTGGCGTACTTCACTCTATTCCTTCATTCCTTACAGTACTAATATTTCAGCTTCATGTGTTAGAAATCAATAAATAATCATATCGTTATGTCAATTTGAATATGTAATAGTATTTGAGAGTTATGTTTACTTTATTTTAACTACCTATACCGATATTATTTTTTAAAGAAGGGAGATGTCATAATATGTGTTTATGTGGATAATATGTGGGTAATTAAGAATGATTATATTGGAGGCGACCGATATTAAGAACTAAATAAACAAGTCTCTGTCCATGCCTCTTGTTTGACTTTTGTACCGCTGACCCTGACATACGTGAAATTTCGTCAGTAGTATTACAACAGCCCAGTCGACCCCTTGCTCGATCTAAAGGACTGTAAAGAAAACCCACCGCTTTTCATCATACATTGTTCAAGGCTAAATGACAGTCTAAAAACAGTCTAAACAGGTCCAGATGACATACGCTTGGAATGATGTTTAACTCTAACACCAGATAACACAACCACATATTATTTAATCATAGAAATCATCACATAAATCATCGACTTGAAGAATATAAAGCCCTGAGTAACATAGTACGCAGATCATCATGACAGCCGTTGCAGATGTACAAGGTTTCAAAACAGAAGAAAATGAATTTATAATAAAAGAAAAAAAGCAGCGTTTCCACTTAATGATACGAGCATAACAAAACAAGAACGACGGCAAGTAAGTTGGATTAAACGATTAAAGTTAATTTAGGACATAAAGGCTGCTGCAGTTTGTTATATATGTCGGGTTCGGTCCAGACATCATAAGTAAAGCTCGTTTATGGCAATACACAAAATTACAATAAATGAAATAATCCAAATCTAGGAATTTTACAAACATGTAGAATAAATCTAATATCCAATTATGGCAATGAAGGCGGTCACATAGGTCAGTACTGACTGTCAGGGACAGTCGTTCACGTACCCACCGCAATAAGGATAGTACTAATTATCAGAGAACGTTCCACATCCAATAATCGGGCAGTACCGACTGTCCGTGGACCGGGACGCAATCGTTCGTAATGCGTGCCGTCTCTAGAGTCTTCACACCGTCCCGTCGGGGACGTGCGGTGGCTGGATCGGGGCTGTAGCCCCCTGCCAGCGGTTTCTATCGCTACTCCTAAATAGGAGTAGGTCGTGGGGTGTTGTGGCCGTGTGGTGTCATGCCAAGGTAAGGCGGGGTTGCTTCGGTCTTCACGCCGCCTCGCCGTCTCGACAGCGCAGCTCGTTATAAAGGCTGTCGTTTGGGGAGGGGAAACGTCACAATATTTTACTAGTTTGAATCCAAGTCTTTTGAGCCAAATAATCGATATAAAATTAAATGGACTAAACAATTTTTCAAATGGTGCGTCCGGTGCACGTTCCACTAGCGCCATCCAGTCGCCGTCATATATATACCAATAATATAAATATTTTTATGATTTGTATAGCTGTATTTATCACGATTCAATATGTGCTTTAAAAAATGTGTTAAATCTATGGGGGGCTGTTAATACGTTTTTCTCAACATTCAATGTTGAAGTTTATCTATAGTTGAAGTTAGGTAAAAAATATCAATTTTGTTGTTATGAGCGTTTATTGAACACTAAAAGTCATGTATAAATTAAAACCTTATATACTAAGTTTTCGCTGACTTAGATAAGTACGAGTTCGTACATGCTCCCGATTCAAAATAAGAAAAGGGGCAAACATTTTGTACAACTGTTACGTATGTGGGAACAAGTGAAACGCTGCAGGTTGAGTGTAATAGAATATAAAATAAACAGCTTTATTTAAAAAAATAAATTTATTCTTGTCACTCAAATTACTACTTATAATAAAAAATGACAGGTAAATATTTATTCTAGTAAAAACGAAACATTGTATAACATATTTATTGTAATATATCTGTGTTTTTAATACGTAACAAACAAAAAGAAGTTCTTTTAAAACTTGATAATAATTTATTCAATCAAACACAGAGAAACAGCAAATCACAGGACTAATAACAATTTGATATTAATTAGTCATTAAACTAGACTATATTATAAATTAACACTTCGATAAATAAGCCTTAAATAATCGGGTAGAATTAGTCCAGAAACCAAATTATAACCGGAATAATAATTAATTCGTTTTCACAAATTAATCATCCAAGGTGTCTAGGTTAAGCTAGCAACGAGGTACAACTAGTGCACCGAGCCACGCCAGAGCCAAGACCGCCTTGCAAATGATCGTTACACGTCTTTTATACCGGCAAATCTAGTAGTGGGAGAGTGAGGCATCGAATGACGCGCTCGGTGGCGTGATCGGTGCACGTGTTGTTTACGGTTTCGCTCAGGCGGCGCGCGGACGAAGACATATACTTATCTTTGACACGGCACTATTATAATACAGTAGTGTAACTCGGCCGCATGATAGAAATAAATACCTACAGCCGCGCGGTACGTAAACATGCGTTAGGGCTGCCC